TCTTGCAGGCAGCCATGGAAGAGTTAACTTTTGTGGGACTGGCAGCCTGAGCCAAGTACAGAGTGTCCATTGTGCGCCCGCCCCCTCTGGAGGAGCTGCTGACTGCTGGAATGTGACAAGGCAAAACGTTTTCACCTTGCCTCAGCTTCCCCTCCTGAGGGAGTGTGTGAGTCACTGAGTGCCTGTGCTCACACCACATGTTGGCAGGGGTGCACTCAAGAGGATGTGCAGTTGTCTCCCAGACTCACCAACAAATTGAACTGTGAATTTGGGATGGCAGGTACGTGCTGGGAGAAGGCAAAAGGACAACAACAGCTTTGTGTGCTGGTGAAGTAAACAGACAGGTTAGGTTTCTCTACTTTTTGCTTTTGAAAGCTTCTTTTTATTTTCTTAATGTGAGGGGTGCATGTGGACATGCGGGGCTGGATTAGAATCCTCAGCATAGGCGGTGAATTTTGCAGGGGCCACCTGGGTGGGTGGAATTGCAGTTGGAATAGTTTGAACCACAGGACTTTGAAGAACTGTCACGGGGCTAATTTATTTTCCTCGAGAAAGAACTCCTTGAAGTCCTCCAAGTGCCCAGTCCTGCACTGGGTGCAGAAGTGAGTATGAGTTGTACAATCACAGTCAGTCTCAGCCTGAAACTGAAATGCAGTCCAGTAAGGGAAATGAGATTTGTGTACACAAAGCAATGAGAAGGCAAGGCAGGACTAGTGTTTAGTGGCAAGCTATGCAGCTGGGTGCATGGTAAGTCAGGCCATGGAGTGAATACTGTGGTCCAGAGTTTACAAAATATTGTCATGAGGGAGTGAAGACTTGGGCATGACCTCAAAATACAGGAAGGATTGGGATCTGTTTGTTCATTTGTTCATTTATTCCTCCATGCAGCAGACATTTGGAGAGCACCAGTTTTATGGGAGGCATTGCGTGGATTGATGGAAACAGATATAAGGAAAGATTCTGTAAAGATACCAAGGCAGAAATAATTCTGTGTGTACCACGCTACTGTGAAGACTGGTGTGACTTGACTAGGGAATGCAAGTTGGTGGCTAATGAGCCCTATTCTGGATTCCTAAGGTGAAACCAGTATGAAAAATCTGGAATTGATGTGTTCCTGAAGATGGGGATTGAGACTGCATTACTGTTTCAGCTCGAGTGTTTATCCTGCCATACTCACACTGCTCTGGTTCAGGTCCTCATGCAACAAGGATGGAATTTCAGCCGAACCTCCTTATGGTGCCCCTGCCTCTAATATCAGGTTCTGTTAATTCATCCCTCACATCACATGCCAGAACTCTCTTCCTAAGGCATAGCTTTAATAGCATCCCTTCCCTATTGACATCCCTTAAATGGTTTTTCCCATTACCTGTAAGATAAAATCCAACTAATTAGTGTGGTAATCAAGGATGTCCATGATCTGGCTATAACCTTTCATCTCCAGCCATACCTCACCGGTCCCCATTTTGCACCACACCTCTTAGCCAAACCTCACCTTTCTCTTCCCCGAACCTTGCATGCCCCTGCGCCAGGCCTTGCCTCGCCTCATGCTGTTCCTTCCTTCTGCCCACTCTACCTACTCAAGGTCAAAGACATATCCTATGCTCTCCTTGAAGCCTTCTGGGGTAGTTTCTCATCTGTCTACACCTTGCCCAGGTGGAGAACACTTTCTCTTCCCTTTGTTCCTATCCTTTATTATAAGACATATAAAAATTCGTTCCATTTTTCAAATCACTCTTTAGAGTATCACCTCCTTGAGGAAAGAGGTTGCATTTTAATCGTCTTAGAATCTTTACTTGTGGAGAACTGAAAAAAAATTTTTGAGTTTTCCCTTTTTGTGTATCTCTTACTACTTGAGTTTTAACTTTTGAAATTTTGCCTTTTACATCAATTAGTTAATAATTTATATCATTAAATATAAGAAACTCTGAAGTGAGTCATTTTCTTAAATGGAAGTTACTTTATTAATGTGAGTAACACATCCACTTTATACAGCTAATCATTCCTGTAAAGTGTAGATTTCACCTTTATTTCTCTCATCACCGAACCTGCAACATACATTGTCCTATCTGTGGTTCAAAGGTCCAAATGGGCTTAGGGTAGGAACGTTTTATGAGGAATATGCCTCACCTTTGGCCCTAACCCAAGGGGTAGCTTCATAGGTGGGTACCAGGGAACTAAGGTATAACATTGCAGATTCCTGCCAGAGGGAGTAAACCACTGAGGACTCCTGTCGTAAGAAAACAAGGCTTGCAGTTTGTATGGCTCCAGATACAAGCTGAGTAAGACCTACTGGTCTCTTACCGCTTGACCAGCAGGGACATGTTCCAGGGCATCTTGATGTCTCCAACAGCTAGTGTGGTACCTGAGGCTAGGAAGAGAGACCTCAATGAAGGTTGACTTAAATATGACTTTTAAAAAATTATGTAAGGTTTTGGGCAGGTAGGCAGATCCATCTAGATCAGACAAAGAGTTTTGTAAGTAAAAGAAACATCAAGTGTCATCAGGCCTAACTGCCCTCCCTGCTCCTAAGGGGGGCTTTGTCCCTTTTGTAGCATGGTACTCGGGTGGCTGTTCAGAGTTTGATTGACAGCTTCAGCAAAGATGCAAATGTTCTCACTAGGCAGCTTCTTTTCTCCCAGAAATGGTGTATTTTTTGGTTTTCCCCAAAGTGGAAGCAGTTGTAAGTGTGTCTTCCTGCAGGGCTGAGCAGCTTCCAGGAGCTGAGTATGTTCTTGGGGCATCTCTGGGGAACAGGTCCGTGTTAAAGCCCTGGCTGCCTTGCTGGCTGGATTCCTCACGGGGCATCAGCTGGAAATGGACCGATTCCAGGGGGAGAACAACACGCCGGTGTTCAGGTTCCAGTTTTTGGCTATTCTGAATGTGTCTTTGCAGACATTGTTGGAATTTTATGATGGGCACATTTGCTGGCCAATTCCTTAAATTGGTGGGCTCAGTAGTAGAAACCAAAGGTGTTCAGTGATGTCTTCTGCTGGGAAACTGAGAGGTATTCAGCCATTTAAAAAGGCTTGATTGCGATCTGCCTACAGCCTCAGGGAGCAAGGAGATGATGTCTTGAAGTTTGGTGCGGTCCCAGGGTTCTAGGTTTTCTCCTGCGAACAAGCATTTGGGCTTCCTTTTGGGCTTTGAAAATGCTGAGTATGAAACTGGGAACAATGGGACAGGGATTGAATAAGGGAGAAGGGTAGTTTAGCTGATCCTTCCATGGTCTGGAGAAAGCCTGATTTTTCTCCTTTCCTTGTAAGGAAGGCAGAATCAGTGATCCCCGGGGGTGCTCGGATGGAGGGTGGTTCCTGACACTTCCAAAGTCCTGTGAAATGTTACCCTCTCTCCCTTTTAACATTGTTGTCATGCAGTCATAATGCCTTTATTTAAGGACCAGAAAGGGACTTAAAACTGCCCCTTATGGCTATTTTTATCTAAATAATTTATGATTAAATATCTCTTATGTGAATGGAAACAGTTTTAGGGTTGGTTTTTCTTTTTGTTTTCAAACTCATGCCTAAGCTTTACATTTGCTTTAAGATCTTTGCTTACCTTAACCAAAGGTAAGACCCTGAGTAATTGAAATAATTCATAATGAACAGCGGTAAGGAAAAAATGGTCAAAGCCTTGGCCGCCGGGCCTTCCTCTAAGGGGCTGGAGAGCTTGGCCCAGGCACCTCGGGGGTTGTGTTGAGTTTTGCAAACTGTTTTTCATATGTGGGGGAAGCGGTGCAAGAAGCCAGCCAGACGCAGTTCCCACAGACCTGAGCGCCAACCCTTCAGACTTCCCTTTAGTCACGGTCATTTCTGATGGTGACTCAGCCAGCTGTGGTTTGTTTCAGAAACTTCTAGCTGGTGACGGGACTGGAGGACTTGCCTCTCTTATCTTTGTTGGGTCCACAGCCAGAAAAATGAATAACAGTTCAGTGAAAGGGTGTGTGTTAGTCTGCGTTTCCTGCCCCGCTCCAGTTTAATGCAGTGCGGGGATGTGCTTGTTCTGATTTGATTGCTTTCTGTCATTTATTCTGATGCCCTTGATAAGTGGGAAGGGGCTTCTGGAAGGTCGACTGAGTTACCTTTGAGGCCATTTTCCTTCCTGCAGTGGCTAATTATCTCTCTGCTTCTCAGTTGCAGATCTGATCTCTTCTGAGCACCTCACCGTGTCTCCATCCTTGGGACTCTGAACCCAGCAGCTGGACCACTTTGTCCTTGGAATTTTGGGTGTCCTCTCTGCCCACCTTCCCTTTCCCCCTCCCCCCCCTCCCGAGAACTCCTGAAGACTGTAGGAGGGCCATGGAGTCCAGGGAGATCTTAAGCAGCTCCCGGCAGAGGGGGAGCGAGTCGGATTTCCTGCCCGGCTCCTCGGCCAAGCCCCCGGCCCCCGGCTGCCCGGGAGAGGCCTTGCTGTCCGCCCCCGGGGCCGGGAAGGGGCTCCCAGGGGCCGGAGAGCGCATGGAGCCCGAGGAGGAAGACGAGCTGGGCTCGGGGCGGGATGTGGATTCCAACTCCAACGCCGACAGCGAGAAGTGGGTGGCAGGAGATGGCCTGGAAGAACAGGAGTTTTCCATCAAGGAGGCAAACTTCACGGAGGGGAGTCTGAAGCTGAAGATCCAGACCACAAAGCGGGCTAAGAAACCCCCAAAGAATCTGGAGAACTACATATGCCCACCGGAGATCAAGATCACCATCAAGCAGTCTGGGGACCAGAAGGTGTCCCGTGCTGGGAAAAATAGCAAAGCCACGAAAGACGAAGAAAGAAGCCACTCCAAAAAGAAGGTAGGGACCCCTGTTCTGTAGGATTTTTGTTTGTTTGTTTTTGCCATATTATCCTCAACTTTTAAGGGTCTATTTGTTTATTACTTATTTGCACTAAGTCCTGATCATCAATAGGTTCTGCGACTTTAAGTGAAAAGATGTGACAAAACCGATGTTACCACAGGCTAATTGATATAAATAAGAGTTAAGTTCCTGTGGCATCTCATCCACGTTATAATGAAACAACGTTGGACTAAATGTCTTGATGCAGGGACCCGCTCATCGCTGAATTACCAGTTTCTTTGATGGAATACTTAGGGCCTCCAGAAGAAATGCCTCATAAATCTTGGTATAGTGCCCAGTTATTACAATTATTATTATTTATTATTATATCTTCTACCCACCTGAAAAACAATAGCTACTAGAATTAGAAGTCTGGAGCGGTTCTGTTTATTCTGTAGCAGCCAATTGGCTACGTCAGATCTGGCTTAGTGGTGACAACAGTTTGAGGTTTTTCTTTTGCTTTAATATTTATATCTGTTCTCATAGTCAAAGAGTGGGCTGTTGGAAAATTCTGGTCAATCAGAACAGTCAAGAAACATCATAACGTTTTGGTTTCAGTCACTACTGCACCTCTTTCTAACACAGCGAGTCTTTCGCGTGAGGAAGGGAACCTAGTCTTTGCAGTAACTTGAGGCTCTTCGAGGGCTGAGCGATCATTATTCCCAAAGCCAGTGGTGAGCATTAGAACTGGGACTCGAGAAAGAAAAGGAGCAGGCGACTGGCCTGAATCTTTGTTGAACACATCAGAGGCTTTTAAGAGTGGGTCTTGAATGAACGTAGTTGGTTGTCATTTTCCTCCTAGAAGAACATGGGTGTAGAAAGCAGCTCTCCAGGTGACTGGTGGTGTCATTTGGTTGGGGAAGACTGGGCCCAGGTTTCATTGTATTATTTTGTGTCGCAGGGGTTTGCAGTAACCTCTCTTCCTGGGAGGGGTGTGGCACTCAGCTATGATAGCAGAGGACTGCCCTAGTCTAGAAACTTTCTGTTTCAAACAATCTTTGGGACTTGTGCACAGCTCGTAAAGAAGTCCTTTGGTTGACAGAGTTTGGGGGTCCTAGGTTATAGGTGTCAATCAGTCTTTGTAAGCCTTTCCCCTACATCTTATCATTTATCTGAACTCTAGCTTGATGGACTAGCTAAAAATGGCACATATAAGTGGACCTCTCGCCTTTGTAGCCCATAGATAATTTATAGAGTTTCTCTTGCCAGTGGTTTTTGAGCTTTGGAGCCAGCATTTTCAGTAAAACTTCTGGGAATCATGTTCTTTCTTTAGTGTAGGGCTTGCATCTTCCTCATGCTAGGCATTTTGCCTGATTCGTTGCATTTAAAATCCAAAGACTTGGACTAGAAGAGACTTTCTAGGGTAACCAATGCCTCCTAGTTGGCTCAGACTATTCTAGTTTGAAAACTGAAAATCCTGCACCCAGTAACCCCCACTGTCCTGGGCAAGCTAGGACAGTTGGTCACCTTACTTTAACATTTGGAGCACAAAGAAATCTGTTAAAGTATCTTGCTTTTACAGAGCATCGAGGTAATGCTTTCCCCTTCCCCTCTCCATTACAACTTTGCTGTGCTTTCTGCTTCTCTGTTATAAAGCCAACAATTATTTAGATGCACATGGAAACTTCTGGGGAATCTTGCAAGCAAATACAATACAGCTCAAATCAGGCTCCATGTAGAAAGCGAGACTTTGCTTTGGAGTTGGGCTCTTCAGCTTTGAAAATGAATATCTTTGTCTCTGCCCATTGTGATGGCCAGTTCTTTGTGTGTTGTTGGGTTTCTGTGTGGGTGGGCAGTCTTGAAAACTGTGGTAACTGTTTTCCCTCCATCTCCATCACTACCAGGATTTGAGCAGCAGACAACAGTTTTGGGTGTGCAAATCCAAATTTACTATCCTATATACTTTACACAGGTACTGTTTTCCCTAAAACTGCAAGGTTGTTCCCAAATATAGCGTTCTGCCTATTGGAATGCCCTAGAATAAAACTCTGGAATTTGTGACTTGGGGATGATTTCAAGTTTGAGATGTGCAATGGACCTCTATTCTCATATCTGAAATTCTCAGGCTGGTCATTCTCACCCAGAAAGCTGGATGCTCTTTGTGTGTTTTATTGGAGAGAGAGATGAAATCATTTACTTAAATATGCAACTTACTAAGTCAGTGTTTCTAAGCTCCAGCAATTGGAAAGGGCAGAAAGAAGGGAGAGGGTGGGAATTCAATGTGTTACTCAGACAGTGTAATGGGAGTATCTACAAAAAATTTAAATTGTTAGGAGTTTGCTTCCTGTTTTATTTCTCCATCCTTCCTGCGTGTATTTATGCCTAGAGCTGTTACTTTCCAGAAATGAATGAATAAAATTATTAGTACTGATTCTTAATCACTTGGTAGATGATCTGAAACTTCTCTGATCTCTGTGGGATTAGAATGTTAACTTTATGACTCTTCAAGTTCCTGTTGTTTTGCAAAGAGAGAGTAAACAAAAGCTAAGGTGAGATGGAGAGGTGGACACCAGGCCTACCATTCGTTTAGAAAAGTTCAGTGTCATGAACTTGCAGAATTTACTTCTTTGTAGGAATGGGAAGCATGTGATCAGTAATTTAGGGTAGGGGCAAGGATGAAGATGGCATTTTCCAAGCAACAGGTCAGTGTCTAACTCTAAAATCCAGTCTTCTGGAACTGTTTCATGAGGCAAGCCACTGATTGAAGAAGGGCACATGGACTGGGCCCCAGGACTCAGGTCCTATGCTAGGAGCTAGAAAGGAGGCCCTGCTCAACTGGCCTTTGAGCTGGTCGAGATGCCTCCTTGGGAGTAACTTGCATATCTGTGCTGACTTAGAACAGGGTCAGCACGTTGAAGTCCACGGGCCAAGTCCAGCCCCCTGCCTGTTTGTGTACATCCGGCAAGCAAAGAATGGTTGGAAAAAATAGCAAAAGAAGAATAGTATTTTGCAACATGAAAATTTTATGAAATTCAAATTTCAGTGTCCATAAATACAGCTTTTTTGGAAAAGAGCCATGCCCATTTGTTTACATTTTGTCTGTGATTTCTTTTGCACCATAACAGTACAGTCGAGTGGTTGTGACAGAGACTGTATGTCCCACAGAGCTCAAAAGATTTACTGTCTGGCCCATACCAGAGCAAAAAAGTGTTGACCCTTGACTTAGGGAAAGGACATAGGGTTTCAGGATAGCAGGAATTTTGTTTCATTTTGTTTGCTTGTTAATGATTCAGCCTCCATTTTTTTTTCCCCGTTTTCTTTTTCTCAGACCAATTAATTTTGTTCAAGTCACTGTTGGACAGCCTTAGGCAAAGACAGCTTACATTGGATCCCAGTGATTTTTTTTTTTTTTATTGGTTTTTGTAAAATGAATGCTCTGCAGGGTAATCATAGAATTCTTTGCATATCTCTATGAGGATATCTCTGCTGGGTTCACTCTATTTCTACATGTTCTACTGCTTTGGGGTGAAGAGATACATGTGTGGCATCCTCAAGAGCTTTATTCCAAATTTCAATCCTAGGACCAATAAAGAGGAGTTATAGATGTTCAGGCAACATGGCCACTTAAATGGTTGGATGTTAGGAGGGACCTATGAAAATACCACCTTATTGGCTCAATAACGCATGGACTCTTCTAACCAGGGGACTGGTCACCTCCCTTCCACATAAAATTAGGATGGCAACTACGATGCTACCTGGAAGAGGGATTATGATGAATGGACTTACGTGAGGTGTAAGAGCAGCATTTGGTAAGAGGTAGGGATGAAAAGAGAGCTCAGAACGTACTTCAGGGCCTCAGAACTGTCCTTTGGACAAGTCCTGCTTTGCAGATAGACTCCATAAATGCACCTTGCTCTTTACCACAGCATGAACAGTGCTGCACCTTAGACTTACTCAGGTAAGTGATGTAATAATTAGTTCCCTTCCAGGTCACTCTGTGAGAACAACAGAGAACAAGAGAGTGTGTCTCTAGTAGCAAGTTCAAGTACAACACATGGACATAAAATGTTGCAATAGTGGCGGGTTTTTAGGAGACACGCTTAGCTAGGCAGAGCTTGTCTGCTTTCAAGAAGAGTCAGGGACACCTACCCAGGTTCAACAGCATGAGAAGGAGATGAGAGTCCTAGAGGAGCTCCACACAGTGACCCAGGGCAGAAGACGTGGTGTGATCATGTGCACCAACTGGCTTTGTGACCTTGGACCTGGAGTATAATCTTGCTGAATCCCCGCTTTCCTCAACCACCAAATAGAGATGATAATTTCCACATGATATAACCCAGTGAGAGATTTTAAGGAGGAAATGGGCAATTTACAGAGCACACATCATAATCAATAGTTTGATTTGTTGAACTAAGTCACAGACCTCCCTCTAGCTGTTTTACATGGATTCACTTTTTTCCATTCATCCTTATAATAGTCCTGCCAGATAGATATTATTTATTTACAGGTGAGGAATTGAAGCTCAGTTGCTTCCAGAAAGCAGGAGCAGGTAGGATTGGCCTTTGAAGCCAGTTGTCTTAGGCTCCAAGGCTAACCCTATATCCCAGTCCTTAAGTGACCACACGATAAAGGACTGCTGGAGAGTAAGGATGTAGCATGAGGGCATTTCATCCACACTTTCCCACATTAGTTAGGGTGACAGGATCATAATCTCACATTCTGTCCTTAATTTCAAGCGTCTGGGATGTTTGTGAGAAAGTTCAAAGCCTCATGAGTTAGTCTTTTTCCTTTATTGCACTTATTAATGTTTATTCACTTTTAACCAAAATACAACTTCTCTTTTATTTCTTTAAACTTAATCGTCCCTTTCCCCAGCATCATCAGAGAACCTATTTCCTCCAGCTGCAAGGGCTTCCACCTTACATTCATCAGGTGTCTACCATGGTCTCAGAAACATGCCCAGGGCTCGTTCCTAGCACCCCCACCTAGACCATCATCATACGTCTACGGCAAGACTC